AAGATTGTTTTTAGTCCCGGTTATAAAATTTTTGATCTTTAGTCTCGGTTGGTAACACCAACCAGGATCTTTTGTCCCGGTTCATCCACTGTCAGATGTATGTCAGGGGGCCGAGGATCTTTAGTCCCGGTTGATGTCAATAACCGGGACTAAAGATCACCACTTTAGTCACGGTTGGTACTACCAACCGGGACTAAAGATTACCAACCGGGACTAAAATTAAACACGTAGTATATAATCCCTATCCCTTATCCTCTCCTTCACAGTTACAACTTAGACAGATCGAATCTTACCCCTATCCTCAGATCTATCCTCTCTAACTCTCTTCTCCAACTCCTCCCCTTCCTCCTCTCCTCCCCTTCTCTCCCCTTCCTGTCCGGCGGGCCGGCCGGCGGCAGGGCCGCACGCGGCGGCGGCCGGCGGAGGGGCCGCGCGCTGCGGCGGGCGGCGGGGCGGCGCCTGGCGGGGTCGCGCCCGGCGGAGGGCGGCGGCGCCGCGCGCGGCCACGGCGCCGCGCGCGGCGGTGGGCGGCGGGCAGCGGGGCCGCGCTCGTCGTTCGTGGCGACCGTCGGTGGTAGCAGCATTCTTTTTTTTTAATTTGTGATGATTCACTGTGATGTATTTGATTTATGTGTATAAGTAACTTTATGATTTGTGATGTGGATTTGATGATGTGAATTTGGGATGTTAGTTTGATTTGGGGATTTGCCTACTTGATTCAGGAGAAAATAAAAATGAAAAAAGAAAAAGAAAAAGGAACCATCTGCACTGCCGCTATTGTCTCTTTAGTCCCGGTTGGTAACATCAACCGGGACTAAAGATCCCCTCTCTTTAGTCCCGGTTGGTGGTACTAACCGGGACTAAAGATGGATCCCAGATCCTTACTCCCGGTTGGAAAACCGGGATTAAAGGGGGTTTCCAACCGGGAGTAAAGATGGTTTCTCCACCAGTGAACTGTCAGACTGAAAACCGAGAGTTCAGTCAGTTCATCCTCCGAATCGAGTAGTATTTTCTTGTTCTTCTGAACCAGCCAAGCTGAAGAGAAACTACGTTAGATTCCATTTTGTTGAGAACCAATGTCATGTCCGTGTGTTGCAATGGGATCGGAAGAAAAATGGAGGGTTACTTTTATGCAATTCAATTTTTTCTATCCGGTTGCAAGCGGTGTGGCTGCTCTGGGCCTCCAAATCGTGGGCGTGCTTATCCACTCCACTCGCCTCTCCATCTCTCTCTCCCCACTCGCCTCCCGGCCATGAGGGCGCCGCAGCCGGCGTCGATCTGCCTGGTGGCAGTGCGAGTCGCCGAGGTTGCCCCGTGCAAGGTGCTGTTGCGGGTGGCGCACATAGAGGAGGCGGAGCAGCGCTAGCGGCTAGGTGGATCCAGCGGGCACCACGGATGGGCAGCGACCAAGGATGGGCATCAACGGCTCCCGCGGCGGATCCTCGAGCGTCGGCGGTGGTGGTGGAGAAGGAGGCTCGCCCCTCCTCTTCTCCATTTGACCACGGCGGTGGCGGTGGATGTTGTTGATGTGTTCAATATTATAGTATTTTTCGATGTTCTTGGATACCAATTAATATTGATGGAATTGGCTTATTTTTTTCATTTCTGGAACCTGAAAGGTTTCAATTCCTAAACAGACACCTTTTAGTCCTCTTTAAAGGTGCTGCTTACTGCATGCCAGTTGAAAAATTCGACACCTATGACCGGTTCCTAATCGCACCTATCCCGTTTCTGTAGGAGTGCTTATACTTGAATGATTCTATCTGTTGGCTACTTGGCTGTAGCCTGTAGCGATGCACCGTGCACCTTTCTAGTGCCTAATTGCCTAATTTAGGCACGAAGCTGCGGTATTGTGTAGCCGACTCACTTGCCGTACGTGTATGGACGCCCGCGATTAACATACTCGTAAGATTTTGAATTTAGCTTTGTATAGTTTCATAGTTTAATTTATATGAGTAACATTATTATTTTTTTAATTATCCGGCTATATCTTCAAGAAACTATTGGATAAAGTTGACATGACACCATCATTAATAATTCTGCATCTAGAAATATATAAAAAAATTAAGTTAATATATACAATGTTTTTACATAATTGTTATTTCTAGATGTAATTTAAGTGTTTACCGGTAACAACTCATACTTATTAATTATTAATTTTGTAGTATATACCAAGGGCGTCTATGTTTAGTGTCTCACGGAAATATAGAAAACTCAGAATCGACCCTGTCCTGTTTTTGAGTTGGAATACTGATTTCTGAGTAGGTGATTTTTTAAGGAATATATGTAAATAAAACTATATAGGTGTTCTTTTATATTTTTACATGCAATGGTTCAGGATGAGGAGAAGAACAACTTCGCTTCTAGGGTATCAGAGATAAAGACATACGAAGTACATAAAACGTGGCTCCAGCCTAGAAAAAAAAAAGAAAAAAAAACGTGGCTCCAGAGTGCTGGACCGGTGGACCCAAGTCCCCCAACTGTGGCGGGCCCCAGGCTGTGGCTTGGTGACTGCGACGGCGGTGGCAGTGGGACTATAGTCAAGCAGGAACCTGAACCACGACCCCTCTCCTACCTCCGCCTCGATTCGCATGCTAGGGCAGCAGCGGTGAGAAGAATGGCGTCAGCGGAATGACGTCAGCGCAGATCTCTACCGCGTGCCATGTTGGCGCTAGCTTGTCTTCTGCCTGCTGTTCGCTCCCTTCGCCTTCCTCTTCGACCGCTCTCAATCCATTAATCGATTGCTAGCTCGCATGCTTGTGTTATGCAATTTTAGGGGGTTTGTTGCTAGATTATATTGCTGTGCGGTTCTGCGATTGCTGGGCATTTGTGTTATTTTTGATTTTTTTTTGGGGAGTGGGACTTGGAGGCATAATTTTTGCAACGTTGAAGGGTCTGGAGCTCATCCAAACAGTTTCAGCTCCACTTAAAATGTAAGTGGAGCTAGATGGATCTCTCTCATAAAATAAACTAGAGAGGTGAAGCTAGGTTCAGGCAGCTCCACAACTCCACTGCAGACTCAACTCCTGTAGCTAAATTTAGGAGTTGGAACTCTACCAAATAGGCCCGAAGTTGATGCCTGCATTGTACTCTCTGAATGAAATGGATTTGATTTTTTTTATTTTTTTAAAGAAAAACATTTGAAATTCGGATAGAGTTCAGAATAAACTGTTCATCACCGCCTACCGTTTTCCCTCAATACTTCGACCCCTCTCTTTTTTTTTCATGTACTTAAGGTGCCCGTATGTTACAAGAGAACTAGGTGAGGACAATGTGATGGTTTCACTTCACGCTTGATAGCAAAATTTAGTTTTTTTTCCTTTCTGATCGGAGCCATGCTTATTATCCTGGTTTTTTATTCGTTGTTTTCAGTTCCACGTATCGCTGAAATTAATAGATGGGCTTTAGCCCATTTAAAGATTAATTCTTTGAAAAATTATAAAAACTCACCTCATAAGAAGTCATATATATATGAACTTTTAGTACCACCTAGCCTATTCGAGAGTGAGACCTTCTTAAAAGGGATATTGCTCTTCTAGTCACTTGAGACACGTGTGGTAAAGAAAACTAGAGAAATGCGCTCGCCTAGCCTGGCTTGGGCTTGGTTATGCAGTATGGAGATCGTGCACGTATCCTAATCACGCGTCCTGATATCTCTATATGTAAACCGCAACATACTTTCACCTGATGTCTTGCACCTTTGACGCGTTCAATATCGTGATTTACTTATGGAATAAATTAAATCTATATGTGCTTATATTTTTATCACATATATCGGTTTTTTTTATGGAGCTAGTGGTTCTTAATTTTTCACTGCACATGCTGGGAATGGATGGTGTGGAGGAAATTGTATGCGATGGGAGGTTGGGTGGATGGACTAAATTCCTCTCGTAGGCCATTAGTAGTGGGGTGACATGGCATGTGGTCTCGACCTGCGAGCTCAGAGAATTCCCTTCACATTAGCGTCGGTCGTGCCTCTGCAAGCTAAGGACGCTCGTCCCTTCACAAGGAAACAAATGTGCCCCACTGCGAATCAGGACACCCGACGCTAGGACGCGCTCGTGCGACAGAGGAATCTAAATTCAGGAAGGTAGCTACATGACGAAAAAGTTAAAAGCGATCAGTCGCGCGTCCCCTCTCCCGCGTGTCTAAGACATGCGTCGCGCGCGGAGAGGGCAGCGCAGGCAGCTCGCGGTTTCTCTTTTTTTTTTGGTTTTTTTCCACGGTTTTCTTCTTTTTTTTTTCTTTTCGTATCTTTTGGTTTTCTTTTTTTTTTGCCGCACGTTTTTGTTCTGTTTTTTTCTTTCAGTATCCTTTTCAGTTTTTTATGTACTTTTAATACATATGTATACGAACTTTGCATACACGTATACAAACTTTACATACACGTATACAAATTTTGTATATGTGTACCTTTTTTTTAGGAATATATATATGTACAAATTTTATATATGTATACCTTTTTTTAAGAAATATATATGTGTACCTTTTTATACCACATATACAAGCTTTGTATATATACGTATATAAAATTGATATATTTTGTAGGTATACATATATAAACTTTGGATTTATGCGTATATAAAATTGGTATATTTTGTATGTATACATATACAAACTTTGTATATAAAAAATATATACAAATTTTAAAAATATACATATATACAATATGCATACGTGTGTGTGTGTATATATATATATACATATAAACTTTGTATATGTGTATACAAAGTTTATACGTATGTACATACGTATATACTACATGTAGCAGAGAGGAGAGACTAACCGGATCGACGTGGTCACGTAGGCATGTTGCTTTGAAACAAAAATTCAAAAATTATGTACTCAAATTCGTAATTAAAAGGTTGCATGTGCTTAAATACCAAAAAATCGGGAAGGAGTAGTAGATATTCGTATGTATGTCCTTCGTTTTCTACCCCGGCCGGCCGGGTCCATTTCTTGACCGACGTCGATCGATCGTGTATATATATATATGCACCCACATAAGCACTTGCACTACCACCCCACACCAACTCAACCGATCGAAGGCCCTGCATATCTGCAATTACTAGCAAATTAGCTACTACTACCATGCATGCACAAAAGAATGCCGTCGTCGTCGCCGACGACGTCGCCATCGATCTCCACCCGTTCATACGCAAGTACAACGACGGCCGCGTCGAGCGTATCCTGCGCAGCAGCTTCGTGCCGGCGTCGGAGGACCCCGCCGCCAGCCGCGGCGGGGTGGCGGCGAGGGACGTCATCATCGACGAACGCAACGGCGTGTCCGCACGCCTGTTTCTCCCGTCCGGCGCCGACGGCGGGAGGCGGCTTCTTCCCGTCGTCGTGTACTTCCACGGCGGCTGCTTCTGCACCGAGAGCGCCTTCGGCCGGACGTACCACCGTTACGCCGCCTCCCTCGCCTCGCGCGCCGGGGCGCTCGTCGTGTCCGTCGAGTACCGCCTCGCGCCCGAGCACCCCGTGCCCGCGGCGCACGACGACGCGTGGGCGGCGCTCCGGTGGGCGGCGTCCCTCTCGGACCCCTGGCTCGCCGACCACGCGGACCCCGGCCGCACGTTCGTCGCCGGCGACAGCGCCGGCGGCCACATCGCGTACCGCACGGCGGTGCGCGCCGCCAGCCGCGAAGGCGGCGACATCGGCATCGAGGGGCTCATAATCATCCACCCTTACTTCTGGGGAGCTCGCATGCTGCCTTCCGAGGCGGCCTGGGACGGCGAGTCGGTGATCAAGCCGCATCAGGTCGGCGAGCTCTGGCCGTTCGTGACGTCCGGCAAGGCGGGCAACGACGACCCATGGATCGACCCTCCCGTCGAGGAGGTCGCGTCGCTAACCTGCCGTCGCGCGCTGGTGGCCGTGGCGGAGAAGGACTTCCTACGCGACCGCGGCCGCCTCCTCGCCGCCCGCATGCGCGGCTGCGCGTGGGCCGGTGGCGGCGACGGACGCAACGTGACGCTTGTGGAGTCGGAGGGCGAGGACCACGGGTTCCACCTCTACAGCCCTCTCCGCGCGACCAGCAGGAGGCTCATGGAGAGCATCGTGCAGTTCATCAACCAGCCTAGCCATAGCCCCGCGCCGCTGCGGTGGCCGGCCACCATCCTTTCCGAGCTGCATGACACTACCGACTCGCCACAGATTCTTCTACCCATGCCCACTAGGGAGTACAAAGCAGTATTTATTGACAGGTTGGAAAAGAGAACTAAAACAGGTGCAAGCTCAGCAAATAGTACTGCTGCTAATGCATCGTTAACAATCGGCCGGGGGAAACTAGCAACAAAGAAAAGCTACGGGTTGTTCTTCGGCCGGACCAGAGCTCATATTTACGGAGGGTTAGCTTCTGCAGGGAGCCTGCAGTGTCCTCGTCCCTTCTGTGGAGCACCGTTGTCAGGTTAGCTAATCTCCGTGGCCAATGACAAAGAGTTCTGATGGGATACGGTGTGTTTTACTACTGGGCGATGACAAGATGTTGTTTTATAATTATTATGTGGAAAAACAACTGTTCTGGTAAAATCTCCCTATAACGTAAGAAAAGCTGGTATTATGTCAAAAAATATTTAAATCAATCAAGGAGCTAAGTACAAGTTATCTGCAACCAGTTGTAAGTTGTAATGTTCATTCTTATTAAAATTATTTATGATCCATCGGTGGTATGTACTTTTCCGGTTTTATATTATATTATATAAATAGCTAGAAACCAAGTGACATTACGTATCTCTAATAATATGAAGGTCTGTCATTAAAGATAACTATGAATTATGGTCTTGTACTTACAAGTACTAATATTTCAAAAATGAAATTGCTAGAAAACTTGCGACAGTTTTCTTGAATTTTCAGCCCTTAGATCCGCTCCGTGGTTCGTGCAGGCAAGAAGGAAGAAAACAGCAAAAAAAAAAGGAGAAAACTGTCGAATTTTCAGCACTTTGATCCGCTCCGTTATTCGTCCGTGCAAGAAGGAAGTAAACAGCAAAAAAAAAAGTGTTGTAGACAGGAATCAATCCTAGGCCCTCCCCTTAAATAAGACAGCATTCCAACCACTAAGCCAGCTCAAGTATATATTGAATGAACAATTACATTTTACTTACGCTATAATTAGCTACACAATTAGTCCCCTATTTTCCTCTAATTTTCGGATAATCTTGTTATATTTCTACTCTCTTACGGGCTTGCTAGCAATGACATCAGTGTTGGATGCAAAGGCTTAAAAAATTTTGAATGTTTGGTACCTCGTTTCTGTCGAACGTCCTATAGGTATTCACGTGTTTTAATCTACTTACATAGCACTTACACTTTAGTTACATAGTAGTTACTTAACACTTACACCGTAATTAATACAGAGTAGTTACATAGTACTTATACCTCAATTATGTACTAGTTACATGATAGTTATAGTGTAGCTACATTGTATAAAATTAGGATTTACAATTTTTTTCAAGAGCATGCGTATTACTTTTGAATTATTTTTCCCTTATACATGTTGACCAATTTCATGCCGTTCAATCAATCTGGGTGCTAAGATTAGTGGTTTATACTTATGTGGACCCGTTTCAACTGTTGATGACAGATCCTATGAAAGTTTTGAGCCTAAAAACTATCGATAACTCACTAGCTAGTTCCAAAAAAGAATACACGATAGATCAGCCTTTCGTACTTATCTTTTTTTTTTTGACTAAGCTTCGTACTTATCTTTAATTTTTGTTTTTTTTTGAATTACACAGATACTCCCATCGTTTCTTTCAACACGTCGGGATGTGCCTCTAAAACATTTTACTCTAGTGTCCGCGAGGCTATTCCACCCGTCCGGTACGTGCCGCCGCCACCGGCCGGAGGAGGCTTCCCATCGTGGTCTACTTCCACGGCGGCTCGTTCTGCACGGAGAGCGCCTTCTGCCGCACGTACCACCGCTACGCCACCTCCCTCGCCTCGCGCACCGGGGCGCTCGTCGTGTCCGTCGAGTACCGCCTCGCGCCGGAGCATCCCATACCGGCGGCGTACGACGAAGCGTGGGCCGCGCTCCAGTGTCGGCGACTCGGCGTTCCCCCCGTACAGTACAAGGTGGACACGCTCTGGCCATTCGTGACGCTTGTGGAGTCGGAGGGCGAGGACCACGGCTTCCACCTCTACAGCCCTCTCCGCGGTCCGCGCAGACAAGCAGGACGCTCATGGAGAGCATCGTGCTGCCGGAGTTGCACGAGCACTTCTACTCTCCGTTGCACGCAAGCAATGGCGATCAGAAGATGTCAAGGGGCGCAACTGATTTGTCTTCGTCCCGGCCGCATTCTGTTAAGCGTGCCATCTAGGCCGTACCTTGCTGCGTTTCGTGATGAGCCGGACAAGGTGATAGCTCGAAGTGGCAAGAGATGCATGGAGATTAACAATGCATTAATAGTTGGACAGGAGAAAGCATCAAGGAGAAGCTTCGGGTTAATTTCGGCAAGGGCCAAGCCTGATAACTGGAGGGCCTCCAAGAACCCACTGCTGTCAGCATCAGTACGTCTCAGGATTACCATGGCCAAGAATTTCTTATAGTGGATGTGTATGGAAGTTTAGTCACACTGTCGATCTCTGCTCAGTTCCTACATATAAGGAATAATGGAATCGCCTATTTTTTTTTACTTAGTATGCATTTAATACTGGTTCCTTCAATTGGCGGTACTAAAAATTAAGAACTTTAGTTTCGGTTTTCTTGTCTCGGTTACTGCAACCGGGATTAAAAAAAGGTAGAACCGGTACTAAAGATCATTTCGTAGTGTGATTATGTCAATCTTCCTCCATTCTCTATTGAAAACAATCAAAATCCAGCTACTGCATGCAAACCATATTTATGAAGGATTTATGCTGCGTTTGAGATGTCATTTCGGCTGAGATTATGGTTCACTCGTAAAACGATATGAATGATTAGGATTAGGATATGATCAATTGAGTATTAATTATTATAAATTTAAAAATAAGCTTATTTAATTTTTAAAAAGAACTTATATCTTTTCTAAAAAGTACATCGTTCAGCAGATTGGAAAACGTGCGAACGGTAAACGTGCGTAAAGAGTTGTAAAAGCCAAAAGAGATTTAGAACTCAAACCTGATGGATGGAGTTGCATGCGTCCAGTACAACTCCATTACTACATCAATAGTGCTCTCCAGATCAAACTTTGCTATATTTCTGCTATAATTTTGTTGTCCCTGTGATTTGTATTTTCATGAAATTTGTATAGGTTTTTTAAGAACCGTTCTTTCCACTGCTACAAGAACCCTCATAGGGACCGGCCTTATAGGTGTCGGTTTTTCTTTAAAACCGGCACATATGGACCTTTCCCCACCTTCCGCGGGATAAAAAGTAGAAAACCGGCACCTTTTATTAACATCTATGGGTGTCGATTCTAAAGAAAAACTAGCACCTATAATGTATTATAGGTGCTGGTTTTCTTATAAAACCGACACCTAACAAATGAGCCAACCCGGTGGGGCCCTCCACAAGGAGACAAGGCCACCAGCCCTCCCTCAATCGAGATCCATCCGGTCTCCTCTCTCTCTCTCGGTCTCCTCTCTTGATCCACATCCATCGCCCTCGCTTTCTATCGCTTGTGTCGGCGGCCCGTTGGGAGGGGAGGCAGCGGCGGCCCGGGAGCGGCGACGGAGGGGAGGGTGTTGTAGGCGGTGGTGGGCGCTAGAATTGAAGCGGCAGGCCATGGGCGGCGGCGGCTCCCTCCCCTCCGCCGGATCCGGCGGGAGGGGAGGTGGCAGGCGGCGGCCCGAGGAGCGGCTGCGGGCGGCGCCTCCCCTTCGTCACATCCGGTGGGAGGGGAGGTGTGGTGGGCAACTACTGTCCTCCACGGTGGCACGACGGTGGCTCCTCTTCCTCTAAGACGCGGCGGTGGCAGCACAAGCTCGGGGTGATCGGCCAGATTCATGCTCGGGCGACATGCAGGCAGATTCTCCACGACCGTGAGCATGGTTCAAGAAGGCGCTAGGCGCTAGTTGGGCGGATGGGGGGCGCCTAGGTCAAGTCAAATAGTCAAATTCAAGAAATTAGCAAGCATATTGCATAGAAATTAGGCTATATAACACTAAAATAGCAATAAAACACTACCCAAGTTAATTTAAGCACCAAATACACCATCAATTAACTAATCGTGGTGGCTACCCGACGCCTAGCGCCTAATGGGCGCTGAGGTGGCGCCTAGGACCGATTTTTAGAACACCGACGGTGTGTCTAATTGGAGTGACTTCAATTTTTGTGATTTGTATGGGGATGTTGTTGGTTGATGAATCGATGGTGAGTCATGATGTTGATGAATTGATAGTGAGATGATGAATTGATGTTGATGTTGATGAATTTCAGTGATGATGAATCATGCTGTTCTTGTATGTGGGATGAGGAGTTGCTCGATGCATCAAGCCGTTTTGTTTTATTCCTAGAACCTCAAATGTGTCGGTTCCTAAACTGGCACTTCCGAGGTGTGTCAAAGGTGCCGACTAATATGTGTCGGTTGGGAAAACCGGCACCCATGGGGGTTTCCCAACCGACACCTATGGCTCTTTATGTAGTAGCGTTTATACTTGAAGAAAAACATCGGTAACAGGAAATCGAAAGAATTAATCTCTTAGTTAGCTAACTACTTGCGATAAGACCTTATGTCCAAATTCACATATTAGAAATTAAATATTTCATCCTGTACTGATTTTTATATTTTGGGACGGAGGTAGTATATATCTTCGAGTGTACCTACCTGACAAAGCATTCGTCATGGTACCCAAATGCGAGCTTTGACATCCTTAAATAATCCCTCCATCTCATTTTGATCACCACCTAAGCAAATAGCGTAGAGACCAAGGGCAATAAAACCGTCATCATTCCGTAATTAATTCTCATCAGCTAAGGTGCTACGTCGTTTCGTCTCCCGTGAATGACTGCATCAAATTTTAAATATTGCATGTAGTTGCATAAAGAGAAATTAATCATGGTTGGTTGCATGCAGTGCATTAAATGATGCACATTTAAAATTTATGTGAATTAACAAATAGACACTTGTTAGATGATGATCATTGATGATGATCAAACTGGTTGAAGAGAGTACTGCCTATGATTTTTAATTTTGAACTAACAACGCTAGTTAAAGAAAAATGGAGAGAGCATTAATTACTACTCCCTCCATACTCATAAAGGAAGTCGTTTAGGACAGCGACACGGTCTCCAAAACATAACTTTGACTTCTTGTTTCTATAAAAATATTTATTGAAAAGTGATATATGTATATTTTTATGAAAGTATTTTTCAAGACAAATCTATTCATATAATTTTTATATTTTCAAATTCAACAATTTAAGAGTTATTCGTGATTTATATTCCTAAGGTTTGACTTAAACATTGTCCTAAACAACTTCCTTTATGAGTACGGAGGGAGTACAGTTGAAGCTGTGGCATGTGGATTGCATGCAAAGTAAGTTGCCCGGCCGGCATGTACTACCCTTTGGAATCGATCGATCAATCAATGGCAAGCTATCAGCTGCAGTATTTTCGTCCATATATAAATATATACTCCTTGGTATGCACAATCATATTCTCAACGACTTCTAATATGAGTATGGAGGAAGTATATGGCCAAGAGGTTTAGGGCCACACAGCGTCACATACAGGGAACTAGGCGAAGGCACGCCACAATTGGCTAGTG